AGCTCATGGGAATGGGGCTTGCTGTAGCTCATTCTAGTAATACTAAATAATAGATTATCCCATTCTGTGCAACTTTTATCAGCACAGAACACTTTTGGGGACTGCATCTGGCAAAGAGGACAGAAAAACATAGGTACTGGAAGAACTGAGTATGTATTTCATTTACTATAACTGAACAAATATTTGAAATATTTGTTTGAAGGGTCCTTGTCTTAAATTTTGTACACTGACTGAAAATTTTCTCCCTTCAGCTTTGGCACCCCTGGCAATGCTGTACATGTAGCAAAAATGCCTGTTTTCAGAACCCACATAAGGCTGACAGTCCTATTTTGTTTGTGTGCTGTAGATAGACTGATATTGCAATATACTGTAAGAACTGTGTGTATGGGCAAATGCCACACATAATTTCTGCAGGGCAATCTGCAGACATCTGTGCTGCATGTTGCAATGTTAGGCTCTGAACGCTTTGATCTGGAAAACCTGGCTGAGCATAAACAAATCCTCATGCCCATTATTCATGTGAGTGAGATATTTAAGAGCCTTTACCCATTGTGGATCTATAGAGCATGTTTCAACAGTGCATCTGTTCCAAGTGCGTCAATTTATCAAGGCAATACAATGGAACACTTGTGTAGCAGCCCCAGAGTGTCACCACTCCTTCTGGTTTTTATGAAGATGAGCCACAAAATGCTGAGGACCAGGTTTGATGAAGGTATCTAAATCAAGGGAACTCCATTGGTTTAACTGACCCATGTCAAATTACACCTGATGCCAATCTGGCTCAGAAAATCTATATCTCATACAAATTTAATGCAATGCTGCTTTATTTTTAACTGTCAATGACAGCAAGGTCATGTTTCCCCATGCAGTTCCTCACAGCTCACTTGTAACTGGCTGGTGCTGTGACAGATGAAATTAAGATTTTTCTACTGAACAATAAAAATGCAAACCCGGGACTATGGTGGCATCCTGTTGGAGTGTTTCTGCAAGAGCCTAACCAGAACTTTGAAAAAAGGAGGAGCAGAAGCATGAAAGTTCAATAACACAATTATCTTTAAAGTACCCCACTAATCTTTATCTAGTATTTAATACCTTCCTTTTCAAAGGTGTTGGGACAAAAGTAAAATGTCTTATTTAGCCCAAAGTTTGGATGTTTTATACCACCTTTCATTCAAATGAAAATACCAGGATGGTGTACAATATCAATATAAAACCATTCCAAAGAAAACATTAAGGAAAATACAATATGCATATACAGTAGGCAGAGGAATAGGTATCTGTGGCCAGAAATAAACATATTTTGAACAGACGGCAAAAGCCCATCACCATTGGTGCCTGCCATATGTCATAGGAGGAGCTGTTCTATGTGTATCACTGTAATAAGGATTCCCATTGCCTTCTGGGGCTCCCTAGTCCTGCCCCAAGTAAACCTGCACTTTCTGCCACCCCTCTCATCTTCCTCTACCTTTGTCCTGTTGCAGTCTCTATGCAATCTCTTAGCAGGAGCTGGGATGGAAGGAGAAACTGAGGCTGAGAGATCCAGTCATCCAGCTAGGGAAAGTTCTTGAACATTTCTTGCAAAAAAAAACCGACCAAGCATTGTCTCATCAGTTGCTGTGTGCTTAGCCCATCATGGTTAGGTGTGGCCCACTGTGCAGGAACCCAAAGCAGGGCTTTCTCTGTTTGGTTCCCTAGCTGTGGAACAACCTTCTGTTGGAGACATGGATATCTATGAGACTGTTGAGCTTTCAGCACTCAGTGAAGACTTACTTGTTTTCCCAAGCTTAAATAGATTTTAAAGGTAGCTTAAAAGACCAGGACCAGATGGGAGACCCTGCACTGTTAAAGCAGACAGTGAAGTGTGTAAGGTGGACAAAATGTACTTGTGTGCTCTGAAAGAAGAAAGAAGAAAGCTGTGGCTTCACTGATGTGAAGCTTCTGACATACATAATAGAAAGATCTGATTTGCATGGGATCTAGGAACATAAGTGCTTGACATAAGGCATTACAGTGGTACCTCGGGTTACATATGCTTCAGGTTACATATGCTTCAGGTTACAGACTCCGCTAACCCAGAAATATTACCTCAGGTTAAGAACTTTGCTTCAGGATAAGAACAGAAATTGTGCTCCAGCAGTGTGGCAGCAGCAGGAGGCCCCATTAGCTAAAGTGGTGCTTCAGGTTAAGAACAGTTTCAGGTTAAGAACAGACCTCCGGAACAAATTAAGTACTTAACCCGAGGTACCACTGTAATGGCAAAAATAGTTTTACCTGCTCATATACAGATGACATAACTTAAAATGCCAATTGCCGAAGTGAATTCTAAGCAGTTTACAAGTGTAAAACTATTTTCAAATAATTAAATATATATAATTAAAATACACAATACACTAATGATTCAGCTCAGCTTAAAAGTTAGTATTTCACTATCTCTAATATGGAAACTTGGAACTGTAGAGTTGAAAGGGATCACAAGGATCATCTAGTTCAGGGTTTCCCAAACTTGGGTCTCCATCTGTTTCTGGACTACAACTCACATCATCCCTAGCTAGAAGGACCAGTGGTCAAGGATGGTGGAAATTGTACTTAAAATTGTACAAATCCCTGCAATATGATCTTCTCTACAAAAGAAAAATAAATATCTTATGGGGCAATCATAAGCTGCTCCACCACTGTTCTAGATCTGCCACTGGTTTTCTGAGAGTGGTAAGACCAAGAAGGGAGTATTCCTGTGTGGGTGGGATGAGTAAATGTGTCAGGGACAGATCTGCTAGATCATAAATCCTTTAATTCCTATGACGTGTCTGTAAAATGGGGTAAAACCCTTTTAACCCTTTCTCTTTTTTGTATGTATTTATAAATCTCCTCTGCCATCTCAATATAGGTTTGTAGCTCTGTTTGTATTGATAATTAAATAAAGGGAAATTAATAATACAAAGACAGAATGGGGTTAAAAACTACACCAGCTTTGGGGCTGCTACAGTTATTTCCCCTCCTGGTGGAACCAATGGGAAAGGGTAATTTAATAAGAGAACTGTTGAGGAAGACAACAGGTAAAATCCCTCCATTTCTGCTTTGGCTGGCGTGGGCCTGCCTAGGCTTTGGAAGTGGCAGTTACTGTGTCACACAAATCCCTGCCCCCACCTCACCCTGCCACCCCAGGTTGCTCTGAGTAGATATGTCAGGGATTTCAGAGTTACTTAGCAAACTTATCCTGTAATTAAACAATATTCCTATTTATCTCAAGCAAAAATGCAATCTATAGAAGGAGAGAGAGAGAGAGAGAGAAAGAGAGAGAGTTTTTCCAAATCTGTAATGGTAGAAAGAAGATTGTGATCGAAGTGAAGGAAATGGGAAGCTTGCATTGCCAACATGCCTGGAAAAAGACTCACATGACAGCAGTTTGGAGAAAGGCTTTATTTATTGAAAGATAACAAAACTTGAGGATCTGCAAATCAATAACCTGATTAACCAAACCAAAATACAGTCCAGGCAGGGAAGCTCCCTGATTAAGAGATAAATTCCTTCACAAGTGATGGGTAGGTTCACAGGCTTTGCCTCTGGTGTCAGAAAAGGGGATTGGAAGGAACTCTTCATCCTTGCTCTGAATACTTGGGGAATCTGGTCTTGGCATGTGCACTGTGGCCCTGCTAGTTCAGTGTTTACCCCAGGATGCATGCCAGGAATAAGGCTACCCCCCATGACCCCCACACAGCGAAATGTGACAGAGTGCCCTTAACGCAGCACTACCTTATTGAATTACCCATTAACTCTCACTCAGACTTTCCTGCCCAGACTAACTGCAAATTGAACCAAATAAACAACACCAAACAAGACTCCAAGCATTATGAAGTAGGCCAAGCTGGAATGCGTGCAGAGGAAGGCATACAAGGATAAAGGGTCTTGAAATTGAGACTTATGAGGAACTGTGGAGGGTGTTGGGTATGTTTAGCCTAGGAAAGACGAAACTGAGAGGAGGGGTGATAGCCATCTTCAAATATCTTAAGGGCTGTCATATAGAGGGCAGAGCTTCTTTTCTCCTGTGGAGGGTAAGACACGAACCAATGGCTTCAAGTTACAAGAAAGGAGATTCCAACTAAATATCAGGAAGAACTTTCTGACGGTAAGAGCTGTTCAACAGTGGAACGGATTCTCTCAGAAGGTTGTGGGTTTTCCTTCACTGGAGGTTTTCAAGCATTTGTTGGATGGTCATCTATCATGGATGCTTTAAGATTCCTTCTTTTTTTAAAAAATGATATTTATTAAAAGTTTAAGAATTACAGAAGAAAAAAAGAAATAACAATAAAGTAGAAAAAAAAATAACAAAACACATAAAACATATAAAAATCATACAATAGTACAGCAAAAAAAAAGACAAAAAAGAAACTAAAAAACACATCCAATATTCCATGTCTTTACCTTTCCTTAACTTATTTCATCGACCTCCTCACACCTCCCTTTTTTTGTATTCTAGTTCAATTCACTATTTCAGCAAGTTCTTCCCATCTTTCTCAATTTTGATTCTATAGTTTTAACGATCTAACCTTAAATTTTTTCAATTTAACCCAATATCAATCAACTTTTACTTAATTCTTTGTTGCATTTCTACTAAAACCATGTTAATTCATTCCCGCATCCTTCTAACACTCATTAATTTTACAATGTTTCTGTAAGTATACTTTAAATTTTTTCCAATCTTCTTCCACCGACTCTTCTCCCTGGTCTCGAATTCTGCCAGTCATTTCCGCCAGTTCCATATAGTCCATCAACTTCAGCTGCCATTCTTCCCTGGTAGGTAGATCTTGTGTCTTCCAGTATTTCGCAATGAGTATTCTTGCTGCTGTTGTAGCGTACATAAAGAAAGTTCTATCTTTCTTTGGCACCAATTGGCCGACCATGCCCAGGAGAAAGGCCTCTGGTTTCTTCAAGAAGGTATATTTATATACCTTTTTCATTTCGTTATAGATCATCTCCCAGAATGCCTTAATCTTTGGGCATGTCCACCAAAGGTGAAAGAATGTACCTTCAGTTTCATTACATTTCCAACATTTATTATCGGGCAAATGATAGATTTTTGCAAGCTTGACTGGTGTTATGTACCACCTGTAAATCATTTTCATTAAATTCTCTTTTAAGGCATTGCATGCCGTAAACTTCATACCAGTGGTCCATAACTGTTCCCAGTCAGCCATCATAATATTATGTCCAACATCTTGTGCCCATTTAATCATAGCAGATTTCACCATTTCATTTTGAGTATTCCATTTCAACAGCAAGTTATACATTCTTGACAAATTCTTAACTTTAGGGTCTAACAATTCTGTTTCCAACTTTGATTTTTCCATCTGGAAGCCAATTTTTTTGTCCAAATTATACACCTCCATTATTTGATAATAATGGAGCCAATCTCGTACTCTGTTTTTTAATTTTTCAAAACTCTGCAGTTTTAATCTGTCCCCCTCTTGTTCTAAAATTTCCCAATACTTCGGCCATTTGGCCTCCATATTGAGTTTTTTCTGAGCCTTTGCTTCCATTGATGACAACCATCTTGGGGTTTTATTTTCTAGCAAATCCTTATATCTTATCCAGACATTAAACAGTGCTTTTCTTACTATATGGTTTTTAAACGCTTTGTGTGCTTTAACCTTATCATACCACAAATATGCATGCCAACCAAATACATTATTGAAACCTTCCAAATCCAAAACGTCCGTGTTTTCAAGAAGCATCCATTCTCTCAGCTCAGCCAGCAAAAAGCGGCTGATAATAAAGTTTTAATAAACTGATAATAAAGTTTTAAGTCTGGCAGGGCAAATCCGCCTCTTTCTTTAGCATCAGTTAATATCTTAAATTTTATACGAGGCTTCTTGCCCTGCCAGACAAATCTGGAGATATCTCTCTCCCACCTCTTGAAACAGTCCATTTTGTCCAAAATTTGCAGTGTTTGAAACAAAAACAGCATTCTTGGCAATACATTCATTTTTATCACAGCAATTCGGCCTAACAACGATAGCTTCAAATTTGACCATATTTCTAAATCTTTTTTTTCACTTCAGTCCAACATTTTTCATAATTATCCTTAAATAAATTCACATTCTTAGCAGTCATATTAACCCCTAAATATTTCACTTTCTTGACCAGTGTCAGTCCTGTCTCCTTCTGAAACTTCTCTCTCTCAATCTCTGTCAAGTTCTTTTCTAATACCTTAGTTTTCATCTTATTCAGCTTAAAACCGGCCGCCTGACCAAATTCTTGGATTAATTCTAATACTCTTTTAGTACTAGATTCTGGCTCCTGTAAAGTCAATACTAAATCATCAGCAAATGCCTTCAATTTGTACTGTTTCGCTCCCACTTGTATACCTTTTACCAATTGGTCCCTTCTAATCATATTTAACAAAACCTCCAAGACCGATATAAAAAGCAATGGAGAGATTGGACAACCTTGTCGTGTTCCTTTCTCAATCTTAAATTCTTCCGTCACTACATTGTTCACAATTAATTTGGCCTTCTGTTCTGAATAAATTGCACTTATACCGTTTCCAAAACCTTGACCCACCCCCATCCCCAATAAATTCTTCTTCATAAAACTCCAAGAAATGTTGTCAAAAGCTTTCTCCGCATCCACAAATATCAAAACTGCTTTAGTATTAATCTTCACTTGTAATTTTTATAAAATATTAATTATATTCCTCGTATTGTCAGATAAGTGTCTGCCCGGGAGAAAGCCCGCTTGATCTTTATCAATTTCTTCCGTTAACACCTTTTTTAATCTTTTAGCCAAAATATCTGCAAACATTTTATAATCCACATTAAGCAATGATATGGGGCAGTAATTCTTAAGTTGTGTCTTTTCAGTCTCTGTTTTCGGTATAAGTGTGATATAAGCTTCCTTCCACGACTCGGGTGCCCTTTTCCCTTCCAGTATTTCATTACAGACTTCCTTTAAAGGTTGTATTACCCATTCTTTCAAAGATATGTAATATCTTGAGGTCAGTCCATCCGGTCCTGGAGATTTACCTAATTGCTTTAAGATTCCTGCATTGCGTTGGTCTAGATAACCCTTGAGGTTCCTTTCCAACTCTACATTCTATGATTATACAATTAAAAGGGCTCCCCCCCCCCAATTCCAACTTAGCCCCATAATAATAATAATAATAATAATAATAATAATAATTTATTATTTATACCCCACCCATCTGGCTGCCCCTCCCCATCCACTCTGGGCGGCTTCCATAGAAACCAAAAATACAGTAAAATATCACACGTTAAAAACTTCCCTGAACAGGGCTGCCTTAAATGTCTTCTGAATGTCAGGTAGTTGTTTATCACTTTGACATCTGCTGGAAGGGCGTTCCACAGGGCGGGCGCCACTACCGAGGAGGCCCTCTGCCTGGTTCCCTGTAGCTTTGCTTCTCACAATGAGGGAACCACCAGAAGGCCCTCGGCGCTGGACCTCAGCGTCCGGGCAGAACGATGTAGGTGGAGACGCTCCTTCAGGTATACTGGGCCGAAGCCGTTTAGGGCTTTAAAGGTCAGCACCAACACTTTGAATTGTGCTCGGAAACGTACTGGGAGCCAGTGTAGGTCTTTCAAGACCGGTGTTATATGGTCTCGGCGGCCGCCCCCAGTCACCAGTCTAGCTGCCGCATTCTGGATTAATTGTAGTTTCCGAGTCACCTTCAAAGGTATCCCCACGTAGAGTGCATTGCAGTAGTCCAAGCGGGAGATAACCAGAGCATGCACCACTCTGGCGAGACAGTCCGTGGGCAGGTAGGGTCTCAGCCTACGTACCAGGTGGAGTTGGTAGACAGCTGCCCTGGATACAGAATTGACCTGTGCCTCCATGGACAGCTGTGAGTCCAAAATGACTCCCAGGCTGCGCACCTGGTCCTTCAGGGGCACAGTTACCCCATTCAGGACCAGGGAATCCTCCACACCTGCCCGCCTCCTGTCCCCCCAAAACAGTACTTCTGTCTTGTCAGGATTCAACCTCAATCTGTTAGCCGCCATCCATCCTCCAACCGCCTCCAGGCACTCACACAGGACCTTCTCTGCCTTCACTGGTTCTGATTTAAAAGAGAGGTATAGCTGGGTATCATCCGCATACTGATGAACACCCAGCCCAAACCTCCTGATGATCTCTCCCAGCAGCTGCATGTAAATATTGAAAAGCATGGGGGAGAGGACAGAACCCTGAGGCACCCCACAAGTGAGAGCCCAGGGGTCTGAACACTCATCCCCCACCACCACTTTCTGAACACGGCCCAGGAGGAAGGAGCGGAACCACTGTATGACAGTTCCCCCAGCTCCCAGCCCCTCAAGACGGTCCAGAAGGATGTTATGGTCGATGGTATCAAACGCCGCTGAGAGATCCAGCAGAACTAGGAAACAGCTCGCACCTTTGTCCCTAGCCCGCCGGAGATCACCAACCAGTGCGACCAAGGCAGTTTCAGTCCCATAATGAGGCCTGAATCCCGACTGGAAGGGATCCAAATGGTCCGCTTCTTCCATGAGTGCCTGGAGTTGTTCAGCAACCGCTTGCTCAATCACCTTGCCCAAGAATGGAAGATTTGAGACTGGGCGATAGTTTGCCATCGTGGCTGCATCTAAAGATGGTTTTTTAAGAAGCGGTTTAATAACCGCCTCTTTCAGCGGGTCTGGGAAGGCTCCCTCACGGAGGGAAGCATTCACCACCCCATCGCCCAGTCCTTCCCAGCTAGCTTTTATAAGCCAGGATGGGCAAGGATCCAGGAGACAGGTGGTTGGTTTCACTCATCCAAGCAGCCTGTCCACATCCTCGGAGGTAACAGATTGGAATTGATCCCACTCAACTTGACTAGACAAAACTCTAGCACTCTCCCACCCCAGCCCTGCTCCCACGGTGGAGTCTACTTCTTCCCGAATCTGAGCGATTTTAAGTGGCGGGGGCAGACCATCCGAATTGGTCCCACCTCCCTGCAGAGGGGATGGGTCGCAGAGAAGTCCAGTTGCACCAGGAAGTGATCTGACCATGGCACTTCTTTCGTTTCGCTTTTACTTAGTGTCAGATCACCAACATCCATAGAGGTAAACACCAGGTCCAAAGCATGTCCGCGGCTATGAGTTGGGCCAAACTTATTCAGGGACAGCCCCATGGAGGCCATGCTTTCCACGAAGTCCCGAGCGGCCCCTTGTAAGGTCGTGTCGGCATGGATGTTAAAATCCCCTAGGACAAGCAAGTTAGTTGTCTCCAGGAGAACATCCGCCACGACCTGAAGCAGCTCGGGCAGGGAATCCTTGGTGCAGCGGGGAGGTCGGTACAACAAAAGGAATCCTGTACTGCCCCTATTGCCCAACTTCCAGAACATGCACTCGGAAAACTGGGTCTTCCCAATAGGACGCCTGGTGCAAACTAATGACTTCCTAAAAATCACTGCAACCCCCCCTCCCCGCCCACATGACCTGGGTTGCTGTGCGTAAGAGAAACCTGGTGGACAAGCAGCGGCAAGGACAGGCCCATCTGCTTCAACCAACCAAGTCTCTGTTACACATGCCAGGTCAAGTCCTCCATCCATGATCAAGTCATGGATGGCAGTGGTCTTATGAATCATTGACCTGGCATTGCACAGCAGCACCTTCAGGTCATGTGGGTATCCCTTGCTGATTCTAGTATCCATCCGGTCAGGACCAGACCCGGACTAAACCCGCCCCCTCTGTAATGACATGGTCTAGTCTTAGCGTAACTCCTCTTCCTACCCCCTCTTCCTACTCCTCTTCCTATCACTGAGATCGGTTGTCCCAGTGCATCCCCCCCTGTGGAACATGCCCTAGCCATTTTGTGGGCTGAGGCTCACTCCCTGGCAGCCCTGACCCCTCCCCTTAAGAACAAAATAACACCTTGAACAAACAAACAAAACCAATAAAACAATGCAAACAAAAAACTGTAAAAATTACAAAAACATCAAAATCAAAAAAATTCCCCAAGCCCAACCAAACATCCATCCCACCCCCACCCCCCACATACAAAAAATCCAAAAGAAATTTTTAAAAACATTTAAAAAAACACTCTGTGCCCCTCCGGCAGTAACAGCAACTGTCCTAGTGAGGCCTGTCAGGCCCCGCCCTGGGCCAGATGGTAAGTGGCAAGAGCAGGGCCCTCAGGCACTCACACAGGGGAGTCCTCCCGGGCAGCAGGCAGCAAGCAGCAAGCAGTCCTTGTGAGGCTTCAGGCCCCGCCCCAGGCCAGATGGTAAGTGGCAAGAGCAGGGCCCTCAAGCACTCACTCAGGGGAGTCCTCCTGGGCAGCCATGAACAGGCAACTAACAGAGACCATACTGCAGAGGGAGGGAGGGTGCAGCACAGGAAA